ATTATATTATATTATTTATTTTTCTTTGCTTATTATGTTTTAATGTTTTATTTTAATTACTACATAATTTTATTTCACAATCTATCAATATGAAATGTTATTAAATAAGAAAATAAATATTATTTATAAAATTTTGTATTTAGATATTGATAAATTTCTCGAACCAGTACATATAATTATACTTATTTGTGTTATAAAATTATGATGAAAATATTATTTAAAGAAATCATAATATTGCAGAGTACACTATGTTTTTCGCGCGCGCCTTCTCTCTTTCTCTTTCTCTCTCTCTCTCTGTTTTCTCAATGACTATATGTAAAGTTATTATCAATTATTATGGAGTGTAAATTCATAAAAATTAATAACAATTTCCGGTTTTGAAGTATTATTAATGCTATTCATCATGATATATTAAATCTTACTAAGTTGTTACATATTGATGTATCACATAAAGTTGTTGATGTGTTGATGTATGGTTTCTCTCTTCTTTCAATAAAATTTTGGCAAAATATATCTATTGGTTTCCGATTAAATTTTTGTATGTATTATTCACATAGAGTTGAATGTAATAAAATTTACAATTACATTTCGTGGTATAAAATTTATACCACCAAGATATATTACAGTTATAAATTTAAAAAAAGTTGGATACAATATAAAAGTAAATATGAAAATATACATAAGGACGTAGAAAATTTTATTTATTTATAAATTAAATATATTGTAGAAATAAAGTAGAAAATGAGCAGGCTTTACGTCATGACATACTAGAACAATGTTGCAAGAATTGAATAGAACTTGCTGGGGTAAAAAGAACAGCATTTGAGCATTGATATAATATTTCTACAAAAAATGAACTAAACTAACATATAATAAGTATGACACGATGTCATGGCGTGTTGACAGATTGTTATTAGAAATTGAGCTTATTTGCAAGCATATTGTGACGATTGAAACGCGGCAGAAATCAAGCAAGCCTCAAATAATAATAGCAAAATACAATAGCAGAAATACAACATGGTCTGTTAAAATAATAACAGAAATAACAGAAATGACGATATCATATAAGATATATGTAATATCGATATAGTTCTTCCATTTACCGCGCTATGCTATAAACGGTATATATATCCATCTCGTGTTTAAGTTTTTATCACGGGCACATATAAAGGTGCAGCTGAAAAGCACAGCTAATGAGATTAGAAGTATAATATCTGTTTCTATCAGCTTAATTAGCTGAAGAGAGAATCTGTAATTCTAAGGAACGGTTTTTATTTAAAGGGGTATTCTGTAAAGCCGATCAAGATTAGTCAATCAAAATTCGTCATAAAAATCCGTCATAAAAACTTAAAAAATAAATTTTTCTATAAAGTAAGAAGATTATAAATCAAAAGTGGGTGCTTACGAGCGACCATCTCTTTTTGCAGGTTTTTCTTTCGTTTAATCACATTTTATTTCGATTAGTTGCTATTTACTCGCATAACATCACAAAATACTTTTGTTATAAATATATACGCTGATTATATATTTTGTGTGACAGTGGGCATAATTATTTGAATATAAAAATATAATGGACGCGCGTATCGCGAATCTAATTAATATCATATAGCATTTAAAATAGGAAAACAATATAAGCACATATAAGAACATAAGCAGTAATTATTCTTTGCATTTAAAATGCAAAAAAATCGTCAAAAAAGATTTAATCTTCTATTTTATTATATGAACAAAAAACAGTTGAAATGATTAGAACAGCCGTTTCCTTTGTCCATTGTCATCAGTTGTTTATGAGCTAATATTGCATTATTAATATGTTTCTTCTTACTTTAAGGATCAGATATTTTTTAAAACATCAAAATTTTTTTACGCTAGTAAATTCAAATCTCGTAATATTTTTTAATCTTTTAACATTTCTTTGAAATTGTATATCAAAGTACTGGCAAAGTAGAAATACATTAATGAAATCTATAATCAATATCATAGATCATTTTTACATAAAATGATATAAAAAATGTACATATACTAACGCGCGCGCAACACAACATATACACATACATTATATTAGTAATAATGTGTGCTATAATAATTAATGTCTAATAGATGCACATTATACAATATTTACACATAAAGAATCAAAATCTTACATGCCATTACTTGCAAAGTTCTTATTTTTAATTGAGAATACGATATCCATATTAAGAGATTAGATATAAATGATTAGATACTTTATTATTGAGATATGAACTGTCGCATTTTATAAATTTCGTGCCGTACAAACATTCATTTGACATTTAAACCTATAATTATAAGATGACTGCATTTATATATAAATTGTTTATTTTCGATATGGAAGAAATCATATCAATAATTTTGACAAAATTAAAAAGCACTATGGTTTATGCGTCTGTGTGTATCATTAATGTCTTTAAAAATTTCTTATTTATAGTGTTTAAAAAAAATGAGCAATTTATACCATAAACATGAATTAAATTTTTTAAAAAATAATAAAATAAGTTGTTTATTATGACTTTTTATAGCCACAATAAATATAATAAAAATATATGTTAATTCACTAAGCTATAAATATATGTGAATTATCAATAAAACAAATCTTTATTAACTTTTAAAGAGCCACAAAGACATTATAACATCTTTGATTGTAAAAAAGAATGTTCTTTTAACTCATGCACAATTCAACATCTAAGAATTTTTGAGATTGTTGATTAATTACACATATCTAAATTTGAAATTACAAGAATTAAAATAGTGGATCCAATATCGACGGTCATTAATTTTTGTATATATCACAGACATATAAAAAAATAAATCAAACATTAATGTTTGTAATGATGTAATCTGAAGAACATATAGAAAGAGAAAGAAAACAAACAATACGAAGATGTGAAATGCTCGATCTATTCTTATTATGTCTATGGCATATGCATAATGATTTGCATTAAGTTTGGTATTATAGGTTTTTGAAATTGTTGGTTATAAGTCTTAGATTAAAATTATAAATTTAAAAATAGCGAATGTAAAATATTTTAAACCGCTATATTTTGAATTTGCTATTTTAAATTTGTAATTTTAATCTATGATTTATAATCAGTGAAAATATACAAATACCTAGAAACTTATAAATACCAAGTTTGATGCAGGTCGATACATATATGTACAATAGAGTCTCCTTAAATTTGGCCGCAATAATTTTGTACTTCTCCACATATATTTTCACAAACACTAATATCGCGTTCTTTTCATGTCGCGTTTGTAGTAAGTCTGTAGTAAGAGAAAATAATATTTTCAAGGAAATATCCTTTAACGTTTCTTTTCCAAGAATTTTCCACTCCTTTTGCCCCTAGGGTCAAAATTAACGAAACTCTACTGTAAAATGCAAAAATTATTTATTTGAGATAATCACCATATAGGTGCTCATTACTTTAAATTTTCCAATTTTGATTTTAAATTCATAATTAATTGTCCTAAAAGTCTATAAATATTGATTCGTACGCGATTCGAGAAAATCTGAAAAAATTCTATTTTGTACAGTATCATGAGACATTTTTAACATCCTGCAATCAATATCATATTTTGTAATAACTTTTTTGATATATTAAACATATACATATATTATTTTCTAAAAAACAAAATTTTTATGCTTTAAAAAAAATCTTACGCGTGCGCGATTCTTTAATGGTTAAATTAGAAAAAAATTCTAAATCAATAATATAAAAATTAATGGATTATAATATCTCAATGATGCAAATCGATAATTGTATATATGTATAACGATATCCCAAAAACGGGACAATTGTACAATTGCCACTAAATTAAAATATATGTAACTATTTAATAGATGTAAAAATATTAAGAAAAAAACAATTGCACATATTTCATTTACCACGACTCTCTGTATTGGCTATGTTCCTTTGTGAATAGATGGACCCTTGAGCCAATCCTCTTAATGGTCCTTTTCGCAATTCGGACTGCGGGCCTTTAGCGAGGCAATTATTTGTAGAAAGTAAAGTCGGATCATGCCCCATCGCGAGTGATCTTGAAAATAGTTGTTTGGACAGCAAACTTGCATCTGGTCCCGACCATGGCGCATAATCTGGCCTAAAACTTTTGTTTTTTTAATATCTATAAAGATATTATACAAAATATAAATAATTATACTATATCTTAAATAATATTTTCAACATACAATAATAGGTCATTATTCGCTCCTTTTACTAAATCCAAACTCGATCCAATTGGTTTTATTAAATATGGGGATTTATATTCTTTGTCCTCTGTAGTACTAGTTCCACGTGAAACTCTAAGGAGACAAAAACATTATTAATAAAGTATTACATGCAAGATATTTCATAACTTGAGATATGACCAAGAATGAAGTCATTAAATATTTTGATAATAAAGCCTTGTATAAAAAAATTTTGTTTTATATTTTCAATTTAATTTTTCATCATAAAATCATTACTCTTCTGAATTATATCACCAGTTACAAATCATTTGTCAAAGTTAAAGCATAAAAATACGACTTCATAGAATTAATCAATAAAAAGAAATATGATATTTCTCTCAAGATAATAATATTTTAAAACATACAATCAAACAAATGTGCCTTACTTCGGTATCTCAGTCTTATTTTTGGACCGTTTCGACTTTTCAGTCTCTGCATCTTTATTTATTTTTTTAATCGGAGAAACAGTCAATTTTATAGCTTCCATTACTGGCGGACTATCTTTTCGCTCATTACTTTTACTGCTGCAATATTTCATATAACCAGGATAAGAAAAAAAAAAAAACAGAAATCTGTATACATTATCTATACATAGCTTTGTATATTGTTGAAAAATAAAATATTACCTTTTGCTACCAGAAGTACAGAGCGGACGATTAGCTTCCTCTGCTACTACTATATCTAATATATGTATTGCTCTTTCTTCATCATAATCTACACTATCCATGGCAAGCATTACCACTCGATCTGGTACCATTTTATATTTTTCCATTAAACGCTTTTTCACTATAATATATTTTTCATATAATATGCTTATCAGTAAATAAAAAAAAAAGAAATTTGAACTGTAGAATACATACATATATTCTTTTCTTCTAAACTTTTTATGCGTGGAGGTGGTGTAGGTGCAGTTTGCTTATTGTTTATCTACGAAAACAAGTTTCCTTTTTTTGGTAATCATATCGATTAACGGACTTAATCACCTTAATAATCTTAATTTCGACATATGTTGTCAATATGTTCAAGATCATAATTCTGAGTAAACTTTAAAAAATCTTATTTTTTTTGTTTATTAAAAAATTATAAATAAAAGTCTATGCAAAAAGTAAAGCTCGAGCATACATTGACAATAAAAAATATTGGACATAGTTTATAAAGATATTATTACCTGTATTACACACATATACACAGATATTTAGACAAATACATAAGCCTTTACATAGGTTGTTAAAAAATCTCAAAAAGTGATATAGGTAGTGTGTAATATAGCAATATCCTTATAATTGTGGCTAATACTGAATTTTTCATTGTAAGCTTACTCTTTTGCATGATTTTTTAGTCGTTAATAAACGAGCAATCGCTTTTAAAGATTACTCCAAGCCATGACTTTGATAATGTCAAGGTCGAAGTCATTGGAGCTAGCTCTGTTGATTAACATATTTACCTATTTTTCTCTATGAGAAAAAGAATGTGGGATATACATTTTATATAATATAAAATTCATTACCTGTTCTTCTTCTTTCTTTTTTGCTACAGCCTTGGCAGGAAAAGTAGTATTTCGTTTTTCATACCCTAAATCAATTAGTTTTTCAGATGCCTTCTGCACATTGTTATCGCTTTGTTCTAATATATCCAATAATATTGTTTCATCCACTTTTGGAAATATACTTTTCAGGTACCTGTACACATATTTCACAAACACATATAAATGTTTAATTATGTTATTACTATGTACATGACATACAAACATGGATGCGCATTGTATATATTATATATTTAATGTATTTTTTATAATATAATATTCAAATTATAACTCATCATATTAAATCACAATAGATGATTTAATATAATCATATTTAAATATAATTTGTGTATATCATGGATTAGTAAATTAATAATACACACACACACACAAACACACAAAGAATTAATAATTAACTTTACTTGAAATGTGTTCAACTGATATGTAGAAATAAATATGTAATACAAATTTTCTTTATCATAATAAATGATGAACTATTCTATACATTCATCTTTATTTAAATATTTTTAGGATATAACGTATATGCACATATACTATCATGCTTGAATTTTATCTCCTTTTAGAATAAATGAGTTTTTTTCTTGTTATGTATAAGATATCTCGAAATTAAAAAAATTAATTAAAATATTTTAGCAAAAAAGAAAAATTAAGTTGCTAGCAAATTGGCATCAGTTATGTCTGCATTAGACTTGTGATCTGCTGACAGAGCCTGCTCACAGAATCTGACAGCAGATTGACGGTAGAAACCGAGGATCTGTTAACATTATCTTGCATCATACGTTATTATTTTATTTAAATGGCTAGTAGCTGCAGAGCTGCTCAGCTTCTGCCGCCAATTAGTCGACTTAATCGGTAATAACAGCTCCTGTATCAAATTTATAGCTTTTTTGCTGACAATTTGTAACAGGAAAAAAATCTGCTCTCGACAGACTTGGTTATCTGGAAAAGTGTTAAAGTTTGGCGCGATTTATTTTTCTAAAGAACATTCTATATAAAATATACAGATATAGTGTTTCACTTAAAAACTATCCATTTTTCTGAAAAGAATATAAATATTATATATAAAAATATATATAAAATTATATTCTTTCCCTTCATAAAAAAAAAAAAAAAAGTG